TCGAGAAAATCAATGAAATGCCCATTTTGAATGCGTACAGTTTTTAATAAATTATCAAATTAAATAATTATTTCACAACATAAGAACGGAGCAATTACGGCCATAATTTAAAAAGTGATTGCAATTACCGCAAGAAACGCTTGAAAATTGAAGTTTAAAAATAACTTACTAATTAAAAACGCGTTTCCTCCTACCTTACAAACAGCGACGACTAATTGGAATAGCGATAGTGGAAAATGTAATAGACTTGCAACACTTTGGTAACTATTTCGAATGTTTAAATTGGAGACCGCACGACAATTACGTCTCATCGCGAGGAAGTGACGCCGCGAACTAAAGCGGTGGCCGACCGTACTAGATACGTTATAGACGCCGTCGACCAATCAAAGCGTTGCATATTTCGCGGATTCTTATTGGTTCTATTAACAATTGTTCCTATAGGGGTACCCCAAATTGAAAGTATTGATAAGATCAACCGACCGATTTATATGGAGACGCATCATTAGGGGTACCCCAAAATGAAATAAAAATTATAACAACAAAAGGACCGCCCGCAATCTATTCTATATTAGTATTCATAAATTATTTTTAAATTGTACGCAATTACTGCAAGAGACTCCAGCACATGTAAATTAAATAATTGCTCACCAGGTAATAAGTTGAGCGATTTTCCATCTGCTATTCAAACAGCGACGACTAATTGGAACAGCAATGGTAGAAAATTCACTAAACTTGCAACACTTTGGTAACTATTTCGAATGTTTAAATTGGAGAACGCACGCAACTTGGTCTCATCGCGAGGAAGTGACAAGTGACGCCGCGGACTAAAGCGGTGACCGATCGTACTAGAGACGTCATAATCGCCGTCGACCAATCACCGACTTGCATATTTCGCGGATTCTTATTGACACTTATTTGCAATTAGTTCCTATAGGGGTACTGTGTAATGACAAATATGATAACAAAAACAGTGGAAAATATATGGAAATTAATTTAACCTTAATATTAATTACATTCTAGATTATATTTTTAGAAAATGCGAGTAATTGGTTAAGTGATTAAATCGCGAAGAATCTCATTAAAACTTTCAGACTAATTCGATTTTTATGAAATTTACGTCACTTTCGATGAACCGTTGCGCTCCTTTTACGATCACCTGATCATATGTAACAGTTGGTTGCATAGCTTAACGAAATTATCAAATTTTTACTTGATTAAATACAGTTGATATTAGCAAATTAACATACATATTATTACTCAATTATTTGTTCTAAATTTTCAATAAATTATTAAATGTTTGTTTGGTAGGCAACCAAAATATCATTGTTTAAATATTGAATGGTTGTTTTAATCGTAAAGATTAATTTGTTATTAATTAGTGTACGTATTAAAACGTTATCTAAGCGTACATGTAATAAGTTAATGAAGGTATATAATTAGTTATGTAAATTCTTATTGGATGTGCGAGAGGTGTCGCTGGTGTCGTCGAGGTGTCAGAATAAAAATAGTATCTGTCAAAAAGAGATCGCAAGTAAACATCAGATCAGGCCATCATATAATAATATGGCGAAGTGATTAATCATCGTCTCTGCCAAAATTTTAAGTAATTCCCTTGTATATTTATAATTATTTATTTTATTGTCCGCCGTTTATTGTCGTGCGGAAGAGAAAGAGAGAGAGCAAGTGGTGCGGATATCTTTGGTGGAAAGAAGGAAGGAAGACGGATCTCTGTGAAATCACATTGGATTTGATTGGATTCTCTGGTGCGTCTCCAAAAATAAATTAGATCAAATCACATGCACATTCGACACACACACACATAATATATAACAATTGCTAATCGTCGTTATTCAACAGTTCTTGTATTTGCGGTTGTTGTTGTTGTTATTGGCAACAACCACCCCCACCGGATTCGGACCATAATTGTTTACGTATTGCGTCACAGCCCCCCGCGTTCTCGTCTCGAAACCTTGACACCGAGCAATAGCATATTTCGTTGTTGCCGTCGTCGCAGCAGCAGCTACTCTCCTTTTTCAATTTCGTCGCCCCCCTACATACACACACATAACTCGTACAACAACGAAAAGATCGTATCCGTGCGTGCAAAGAAGTGTCGTTAATGTTGCTTGAATCCGCTTTCAGTGCAGAGCACATGTGAGCTGCAACACCACTGCTTCTTCAACATCCCCTACGAGAGGCCCAGAAAGAGATAGGAAGCAGAGTGAGAGTGAAAGGGGTGGAGGACGTAGACTAAGATGACCAGCGTCAGGTGCAGCTTGGCCACAGCTGGGAAAATTGTTTTGGCTGCGAGACACTCCAAAGTGCAACATGGTGAGCAGACCTGTTATCTAACAAACACCTATCATGCACTCAAACACTCGAAACAAAAAACATCAACATCTTGTCCAATTGAAATCATTCAAGTTCCTATTAGATCCTATAAATTGGACACGTGCACTCCATTATTATCTTCATTCTTTATTAAATCTATAAAAATTTAACAATTTTTAATGGTATCTACATGTAAACAAAACTCATATCAGTTGCATCCCGATTATCAAAACATAATCCTGCTGACCGAGATAAGACCACACTACTAAAGCACTTTAATATAATAATAATTCTCAAATTGTTACTCTCCATAATAAATATACAACCTCAACAACTTTGACATATGTCAATTTGACATTGACATAATTAAATGAGCAATTCCAATTAGAATTCTCGACGAATCCTCAGCACAAATAAAACTTTATTATTAGCATTTAATTGCCAAACTCTTAGACACAACAACAACTATCGCCTTTATATTATGATGTTATTTATTAAAATAACAGTTGAATTTGAGAAACTAAGAACTTTATTGCTGTGAGAATTTAAAAGTAAAAACAAACAAAAACTTATTTAATTCGTACGACGCTCTGATTGTTGCCGACAAGACGACATTGATCCGAACGAGTTTTTCTTGCAATTACATTCCTTTCTTTAAAATCAACCTTGAATTAAATTCTCACCACATTCACGTTGCAGTTACAACCCCTAAAAGCCAATTACACTTTAGAAAACGTCAAATTGTTGATGGTTGCTATAGTGATAGTTACTGTAGCAACAATAATTCTCGCGAAGATTGAACAATATTCTCATTATAAGTAGAATATGCATCGATAATGAGTTTGCACATACTCACGTTCCAGTTTCGTTCGTTTCATCATTAACTGAAGAAACTATGACTCCCCGAGTCATTTTAGAAACGCTTGAAACAGGTCATTTCCTCTGTCAACTTGACCTCTGTCTCTATGGTAACCTTCATATATTTTGTGCAGAAGGAATAATAAAAAAAAGAACTTAATGTCATAATTGTATTTGTAGAAGAGGAAATAATAACAAAAAAATATAGTTGAAACGAGAACAATTTTTATTGCATTCGCTATATAATTTTTTTTTGTATAAATACTGGATTGAACCTCGAGGAGATTGTCTTACATCGTAATTCGTCCGTCGAAGCAATTGAAGCTAAACGAAACGAGAGAACGAAAATAAAAAAAAGAGCGTTCGTCCAGACACAATCGTCAAGTTGACATTGGAAAGGCTATTACCTGTTGTTTTTTTTTGTGTGTGTGTATTTAAATATACATCATCGTAATTACGTCCGGGTATCAGAGCACGCTACAACTTTTCATTAATTGCACCCAAATCTCGAATATCAAACGTTTATTATATATTTAAAAAAAAATGTCCTTATTAACTTTTAGCAAATACATTCCTCTTTCTCTCCACTCTGTACAGTTACACAATTGTAGTACGCACTTTCCGCTCTTGAATATGATTTATCTCGCCCGTTTCTCTTTGGAATTCCGCTTTGTCTCCTAGCAACGCAAAGATTTATTGCCTAGTGATGTGAAGCTTCATAATTGCGCCGTTCATTTTAATTGGTATCCATGGAAACCACCTTTATTGCTTAATTATTCACATTTAAGGTGTTATAAACTTATTTTATTTGCAATTTTAATTGGTCGAGCACTGAAATTAAATGTAGCTTTTGTTTTCAAAACAAAATAGTGTAGGAAGCGAACGAATCTTGTGTCTGCAGTTGGGCAATGCTAAGTAGTTAGTATTCAGTAATGACGTAGGAAATTAGTGTAATTTGTGGGTGCAGTATGGAATTAACTGTACGGAAGAAAGCAAAAAAAAAATATAGAATAATATAGGCACATTAGAAATTTTGTTTCGTTTTTTTTTTTCTTATTTAAGTACGGTTACACTGCTTTCTACATTAGTTACGTAAATGCGGCAGGAAAGCGGCGGGCACAGAGAGAAGTACAAGAACAGTTTCCTTTTCGTCCATCCGAAAGACGGCAACTGTAGCGCGATTTCGTTTCAATTATGGTTGTTGTCTGTTGTTGGCTCTGCCAAAAAAAGAAAACGCATATTTATATTTGCTGCATTTATAAATACTTATTCCAAATGATGTGGGCGGCGCGATATGTGTTTGTCGTGCCGAAAAAAAAGAGAGTGTATTGCGTAAGATCAAGTTTGCCGTACGTAAACAAATCAACAACGTTCTCGAGAAACAAACAAACAAACAATTATTTACAAATTTATTCGAATTAACAAACAAATTTTAATTACGAAGTTTGGAAAATGATTATAATTTTATGTGTAATTAATTATCTTTTGCTTAATAAACACGTATATCGAGTGTGAAAATGAAAGCATGTCAATGTCAGACATGGTTGAACTTATTCGAGAATGGGCTCTGATTTTGGTGCGTCGATTACATCATTGATTCATTCATTTGTTTGTTTGTTGTTGTTGTTTTTTTCTATAGGATTTAAATGGGAATTTAAACAAGCAAATGAACAATGCAATGCGATTGTTGCAGGTATTGTTGTTTTTATTCGACCTTCCAAGCTCAAGCTCAATGTCTTCTTCGTCCGATCCGAAATCAATAACGAACGCAATTGCAACATTTTTTGAAGTTAAGAGAAATGGGTCATTGTCACAATAACTGATCGTGTTCGTTCGTTTCATTGCAGGTCTCCTGTGCACCGCCTACAACAAGTACAGTTCGGTGCTCTCGAAGAGCAACCTCTCGACGACGACGGTGATCCTGCTGAAATCCCCAGGATCCGGGGATGCGCCCTCCGGCGGTAGCGGCAACACTACGACGACGACCACGCCCACGGGCGGGGACGTTACTGGGGCGACGCCGCCTCCGCCACCACCGACCACTCCCACCGGAGGCAGCGGCGGTGGTAAGAACAAGAACACGCTTTCGTGTCCAAAGTGCGGCGACCCCTGCACCCACGTGGAGACCTTCGTCAGTTCGACGCGCTTCGTCAAGTGCGAAAAGTGCCATCACTTCTTCGTCGTGCTCAGCGAGGTGGACAGCAAGAAGAAGGAGGGCGTCGAAAACAAGACCGGTTTCTTCAGGAAGCCGCCTCCGCCTCCTAAGAAGATATTCGATTACCTGAACAAGCACGTGGTGGGACAGGAGCACGCGAAGAAGGTGCACTATACTACAGATAACTTCTAACTATTAAATTGATGAATAATGTGGGTACGTGTGTGATTTGCAGGTGCTTGCTGTCGCTGTGTACAATCACTACAAGAGGATCTTCAACAATGCTCCGGCGTCGTCGGGCAATGCGAGACAAGACATGGCTGTGATGGAACAAGGTCCGCACACCAGCTTCACGCACAGAGGTAATAATACTTCATTCATTGTTCACTCGTTCAGCAAACGAAATCCCGTGGAAGGTCAAACGCGTATCCATCGTTACA